AACGGTGAGTGGCACTCTCGATCAAAATTGTACAGCTAGATGGTAAAAAGAGAATAAAACTTCTAGGAGAAGCGTAAAAACCATCCTCGTAATAGATAATTCATTATTAGAGTTAATTTTATTAAAACTATAAATTATTAATGATGATGAATACCCACTCATTACCCATTTCGGAATATTGGAAAGAATTACATGCTCCTAACAAGAGGAAAATGTCCCTGATTCAAAACCTAGTTAAGACGTTTGAGGATGATTTCTGCTCATCCTATTGACCCATGCTACGATGGAAGAAAATGACTTAGTATTTTACACCCTTAAATTGCCCCAATTCTCACTAGATGATAATTGTTAGACACCTTTCGATGTACACGTCATTACTAATAATTCAGCATCAATAAAGTGAACCCTAATATCAAATTATTGTTGTTTAGATGAGTCCATCATAAAGTTACATGAGATTAAGCAATTTTACATACATGAGTTCATTTTTACTTTATTCAAAGTAATTGATTAAATGTCGTATGTTCTTAGCCATAAATAATTAAAAAAAACTAAAAATTACTGAAAAGTTAAATATTCAAGTAATATTGTACATAATGCAAGATAAGGGTCAACATTCCATATTGTGTTAAACCCTTCAAAACCTAGGCCCCGGCCCAGCCTGCCATTCGTACGGGCTCAAATTTTTTGGCCTAAATTTTGGCCTTCCCAGCCCAAGGGCATTTTAAACACATACCCAGCAATGTCGGGCATTTTAAACACATCCACTTGCAGGCCTACCCAAAGGATTCTTTCAAGGCCAAATTTCCTTCAAAATTTTCATGCCACATGGCATTCAAATTACAAACAAATGAGAACAAATTTTTACTAATTTGGAAACAAACCCATACCAAACCTTAGACCTGCTATGACAACAATACTACTAACATGCAGCAAGTGAACGGCCACATTGCTTGCTATCAAAAGCGCAAGCTTCAACCGGGTTTCCTTACCAGAATCAACTTGAATTTCTCCCTCTTCAACATTACTTCTAGTTAATCTTCAATATTATCATCACTTTCTTCATAAACACGAGTTGTCATCACTTCCTCTTCTTTACTAGTTTCCATTGCATCAGTCAACTCACCATCACTGTCATCCTTATCCTCGTAAATTGCAGGAATAATTGCCGGAGCTTCAGCGTCTTCACCAGGAATCTGCTGGAAAATGGAAATCAGAACCCAGGAATTTAATGTGTTTAGAAAGTCCAGGCAAGCAAATGATACTCAACCTCTAAAGACAGAAGGTCCAAGGTGCCTAATAGTTGAAGTCCTGATTTGAAGGTAGATATCCTCGACTCTATGAGCTGCAAATGAAACACAATTGCCATGACTAAAAGTGCATCAACAGGCGAAGAGTATGGAGGACAATTCACCTGGGTAACAAATTTTCGAGTCATGGTATAAGGCCGTATAATAGGTACTCTATCGTCACTAGCATCGCAGAAAACAAAGTACAATAGAAAACTGTAAACCGTTAAAAAGATGAAGACAAGCAATTTACTAAACAGTGAACAGTACACAACAAATAAATGTCCTTGTGATTGGATATGAGAGGGAGAGAGACGTTATGCTATCTCACAAAATACAAAAATGTGATTTCATTGCATAATAAATATGTTCAATTCAAACATGCCAGATTGGGAAAGACCTAATCTAGGGAATTAGAAAGAAAAATATAAACTACTAGTTTCGGAAAAACATAGAAACTATCAAAAGAATAAATAGGAATTACATATCAATCTATCTTATAAGGACCGGAATGGACTAGCTAATCCGACTAATGAGACCGCCGAATGGTACCTTGGCTGATCTAGTGCAAAGCAAAAACTGAGTTCGGTCAAAAATAGGGCACAACAATATTTGGCCAACAAAATCAGTCGATTTTAGTTTAAACAAGGTTGGCCAACTCTTTTCTATGATATATTCATATTTTCAACATTTTTTGCTATTTTCTTTGTTTTCGAAAATCCAGCCAAATCAGTACAAACCAGCGTCTCAAACCAGTTTAACATGGACCAAACCCCTGACCAGTTTAACAGCCGGTTGGGTTCTAATAACACTGATATCTGATGTTTATAGTAAACTGGAAGTAACTACAAAAGCAATAGTTTATAACCTGGTAAAGTGAATTGAGAACATATACTGAGCAATCTTGAGACAGTATGCAGCTTGATCGTTTAAGAAGCAAACATCGAATCCATCGAATGATGCAGACAATTATCGTACCCCTGCAGAAAAGTCCATTACAACCAATTAGTCTGGATTAAAAGAAAACTCAACTGCTTATGCATTGGTGGAAAATATAACTGATCGATGTTTCTGCATAGACATCAATTTTCATCTCATAGTAAAATTTGTGCAAATCTTTCTTGAAGGTTAAAGTCAAAGAATCATTCAAGTATGAAATCACATAAAACCTCTCCACTCACATCCATGACACTATAATTTTCACTATACATTCCCATCAATCGGCAATCAGGACCCTAACCTACCAAACCAGCAGAGCAATATCAAAAGTCATGCCATGCTAACAAATGGTGACCCCCTCAAGCAAAGAAGACATCCACTCTCTCTGAATATAATTAAACATTCTTAACCACCATAAAAAATGGAAGAGATAAAAAAGAAAGGCATAGAGGCCAACCATTCTCACTGGAGATAATAATAACATTCTTAACCACCATAAAAATTAGAAGAGATCGAGGAAGAATAAAGACATACGATTGAAATGCTAGACATGGCAAGATATGGGGTGACATAAATTATTATAATTTTTAGGTGCCATGAGTCATTGGTATCCAATTTAAAATCAAGTAGACCATACAGACATACTTTGAGTGCTTAAAAGGGTAATAACCAGTAAATAAATCAAACTAATACAAAATCCATACCGTGAATCAAACATAGGTAAGATGCTATTGAAAAGCTTGAGGACTTCTGATGGATTCAACATAGAAACTGTGTTCCCTATAACCTGAAAAAAGGAGAAGGATACATCAGATTGCAAGTACCACAATGCTAATACTTCACCAAGTGAACCACAAGGGCGAATTAAAAGTAAAATTAAATGCTAAATTACTAACAGCAGGGAGAACTTTCCTCCCAAATTCAGCATACAATAAATAGCACTAGCTATATCCAGTGAACCACAAACAAAAGTATACCTACCAAGTTATGCATCTCATTTTAACCAGCTCTACCAAATCCTACTCCCATTTATCACGTCTTACAGTTCTGTGGGTACAATCCCCTCAAGTATTTGTGTAAAGCAAGGTCCCAGTAATATTGCTCCAATTTTGAAATCTTGTTCAATACATTCAGTCTTCACATTTTGTAAATGCGTATTAACCATCAAACCTCGGATTACATCACCATTACAAACTTGTCAACACGATGACAGCGGCTGATGAACATACTTGCTTTTTTCGGTAATCAGTTGTCCTTCCAGAGTATGTCCTCTACAATAATTATAACCTCCTAGGCCTCAAAAACAATCAAGCATGATATTGTTTTCTTAGGTTTAAATAACAATAAGTGTAGTAATAGATTTCAAATTCTTTTTGCCTGAATGGTTAACTTGCATATATTACTAATATGGACTTGCCTTCAAAAGGAATAGAATAACATCCTCACCAAGAAACAGTATAGATAAGAACTAGAAAATGATATATATAAACTGTAGGGGGAGAAAATAAACCTTTTCATCCGGTGTATTCAAGCATTCTAATAACAAAGCACGATCATCAGCGTGCAGCGCTTGCCTAAGTAGAACACTAACTGAATCTGCAGCCGGAAGCACCGGATTGGAAGAGTCCAATTGTTCTGTATGGTCGTTCAACTTCGCATCCTCATGTACATCCAAACTCGCAAGTCTTTCCTCCATAGTTGGCTCATTCATATTACATTGAACAGCATCTTCATTAGATAACTCCAAGCCACCTATCCATGTTGAGCAAGAAAGCATAAACGTACTAAGCATAATTTTCAATACCAGTGATCAAAACTTGGCAAGTCCAACTGGACAGCCCCCAAGTTACTCGGACTAGGCAGCTGATTCCAGAACCAAAAAAAAATGGAATCAACCAGTTGCCTCTTCCCACTATTTTACTAGTAATTTTTTAGGCTCCCCTGAGTCTGACAAACTCAACAGATTCTGAGTTTCCTCAGGCTAGAGACCGTAGCAAGACCCCAGCCCACTCCTTGTTTTAACCACTGGTCAAAACCAGGTCAGAGAAATGATCTAAGATCCATAGACAGAACTTACCCATATCAACATTTTCTGTACTGTTGAAGTCAGATGCTGTTCGCTTCTTACTTGATTTCTTCTTGAGGTTTGGAACATCCAATGTTTCTGGATTCAGATTCATAACATCAAAATAATGTCTATAAACCATACAACAGAATCAAAGAAAGAAATGTACTCAGATATGCTTCAGTGGGCCTGAAGCAGCATTGATTAGTTGAATATGCCTAAGCTAAGTAGGTTTGACCTCAAGTACAAATTACCCAAAGTAAGGAATAGGAAGACAACCAAAAAAACATTTGAAGACAACTATACCACAATCCAATCGACTTTTGAAAAAGAATGGTCAATCTTATCACCACTGGCCCTTGAAATGGAAAGTGATGGAGAATGACTGTCCACTGAAATGGACAGTGATAAAAAGAGAGTGAGACCCCGCCATTAGGAATTTAGGATCACATCTCATTCTAGTGAGTCCAAATCTCTCTCTTTCATCATATCAATAGACGGTGATGACCCGATGGACCACAGTTTTTCCATGGTTCACCAGATTATGACATAGTTTCTACTCAAATCCCACATCCATACCATTGACCTCTTCCATCTTTTGAGAATCAGTCACCTCACAAACACGAAATTGCGGCTTGGCTGAGTCACCATAAGCAACACAAACTGCCAAATGGCAATTGCTTTCTGGATCAAGTAACTTGGCAGCAAAAACATGATCCATCCCCTCTATCTCTGCATCGCCTTTTCTTTGGAATGAGTTTATGTCAATCATTGTGGGGGCAAATTCCCCTTGAGAAACATTATGGCCATGCCACACATACGCAACACCTTTCTCCGAAACCGAAAGAACTCTAAGCCCCCCTCTATCCTGACCTGCATTGCTTATTTCCACTATTAGTGGCAGCCCTTGCATGGATAGAGAAGCAGCAGGTGATCTAGTTTTGTTTTCAACATCATACTTCCATACTTGAATCCGCTCATCACCAAATGACGATGACAAAAAACTATGCCCATCTTCTGAAAAACCCAAATGCTGGACATCGCCCTGCAGAAAACATTAATGTGTTACAATTAATACATAATAAAATAAAAGGGTATGATGACCATAAATAATGAAAGAGCACATACACCACGGAACTTGTGAACTTCAGTTTGATTCTCCAGATTGAACAGGTGTATCTTTTTACTGGCCACAGCTAAAAGCTTTCCATCTGGCATCACAATGAGGAGCAGATACATAAATAGCTGAAGGAAATCCAGTTCCATCAATCCAAATATGTATATCTTTTCTTTTCCCAAAAAAAAAAAAGTGCAGATCCATCAATATCTTAAAAATATAAAAGTAGAGATTTACTTAGAGAGCGAATAAATGAAGTAAGATATCGGATAGTGCCACTTCACTCCGACAAAAGGAAGTACATTTACAAAACATGATCATATAGTAAAGATATAACTTCTTAAGTACATGACCATCAGAGAATCCTCATGTGTAATAAAAATAAATAGCGAAACTATGTTTTTTTCCAATCTAAAATACATTATCTATTTTTTTTTTGACAAGGTTACATAGGAATGGAACTTCAGACGTTGCGCTATGAAAACCTAGCCTCTACCTTCTTGACCCAAGCACATTTCCTTAAAATAAATTATCTATTATTGGAAGATGTTATGATTACTAGCTAAAAGATGATCAGCTGATGTACAATTGTTGTGAGAACACCAAAACGAATCCTATTAAAGGTTGTTCCACGTTCAAAAAGATCTTAAAAGCATTTTTTGAAAGAAATAGATATCAAAATCCGATACATTAAGCTATAAAACGAACCTGAAGCAGCATTTAATATCCCAAGATTAGGGCCACTAGCAAATGTGAATCTTCAAGTTTGTCAAAAAACTGTATGCAGAACCAAGAATTGATGCAGAGAGACAATTTCCATGATTGCAATGGCCAATAACAGCATTCAGCATAGAACGAAACCAGCTAGAAGAATAATAAATGAGAAAAAAAAAAGATAAAGAAAAAGAACCAAAAAGATGGAATTTGCGCCATACAAAACTAAAATGCAAAGGTAGATGCTTTAGTCATTTAAAACCTTTGCATGTGTAAAATTAATGTGTCCTATGTAAACATGTGGTCACCCGCAAATGATCCAGAATTCATACATCCTCTTACATAGAGAAGAACACAATGTGTAAACACATTACGACGGCAATTCCAATACCACAACAAGATATACTCACTTGGGGAAACAGACATGGAAGCAATAGACCCTTTTGAAGCTTTAAATTTGCCTAAAAGTTCTCCTGATTTACAATCCAACTCACACACCATTCCATCAACACCAGCGCTATGCAAGGCACGACTTTCATTTGCAAAGGAAAGCGCAGTTACACCTCTGTATAAGACGGGCCAACCTTAGATTAGTCCATTAGCAAACTAAACAAGATATAAATAACTAGCAAAAGTTTGACAACCAAAACGCATGGAAATAAAGTAGTTTAGGTCCATGCTGCCAAGCACCATCTTCACATAATTATGTCAAAAGAAAACAGTTTCCCTAGAGAACAAATGTATCATAATAACCACTATGAAAAAGAGAGAAAAATCAGGAAGTTTTCAGTCTCCATTATAACCACATATGATTTAAAGAAAGCTCCTTAACCTGTCACATGATACCAAGTTTCTCGCACATAATATTTGTTTTGGACCTTTGGTAACAAGAAAAACACAAGATGTTACTAGCAATGGCGTACATACCCTGAGTGACATGCAGTGGATTTCCATTTCAGCTTGCCAGTGGCCACATCAATGGTCAGAACATCACCGCCACGTGTGCCAAGGGAAAGTATGTCTGGTAAACGTCTTCTCTGCGACTGGTCCTCAAAAATGAGATCACTTGCAACTGAATTCTCAAGTAAAACATAGATACACCAAGGACGAGTAAAGATATTGCGTAAACATACCTTCTTTTTAGTGAAAACCCATTTCATACAAGTGCAATAACTAAGTTCTTCGCCATTGGAGTCTTTCCATTCCACTTGAAGATTTCCATTACGTGTGTCCCATATCTACATATTATGAACAGGTTCAATAAGTTGAACAGTTGAACTTCGAGCATCCAAGTTAGTGTTCGCAAGATCAAACCGGAACGGTTAACCAGACATGGGCCCGGAAGCGGTTTCACCGGCCTAACCGGTAAACCGGCCGATTCAACCGTTCTAACCGGGCAAGTCCCGGGCGGTCAAAAAAGTGCTGAAAAAATAAAAAAGGTGCAAAAAAAAATCTAAGAAAATATGAAAAGTATATAAAGAATGATTAAAACAAAACACATTCAAATGAAATTGAAAATTAATGAAAAAAATAGATTTTAATGAATTGATTTTTGAATTAAAGTGAGTATTAGTGACAAAAGCAATTTTTAACCTTTACCATAATGTAAAGAATATTTTAAAAATGCATTACAAACCAAATTTCTTATTTTTGAGAATTTTTATTTTTTTTATTTTTTTTTTAAAATACAGGTCGATCACCAAAACTGCCCAAAACCAGATCTAACCGGGCAGTTAGCGGCTAGATCACCCGGTTTTTCTAACAATGATCCAAGTAAGCATATTTAAAAAATAAAATAAAATAAAATAAAAAAACACTTCTCTTAAATTGCATATTTGAGGATTCCCATCAAGTTTAAAGAAATTGACTCCCAACAGGTTCTCTACCAATACTAAATACGAAAGAGAAGATGACATTATTCGGAAGCATTGGAAACCAGATCACTATGTCCTCCCATAACAGCAAGTCACAAACAAATTCATCATCCCAAACCCATGAAGAGCCCTGAAAAATTCAAGCTTCAAAAACAGTTCCTTGATCAGATGGCCTTCCAAAAATATCATTTGAATTGTATCACCAATATAACATGAAATGCAAATATTTCCCCATCCTTTTTTTTTGGAAGAAGAAGCAAGCAAATAGCCAAAATGCCCAAACCTCAAGCTCCCAGCTGAATTTAAGGGGAAACATTAACTCACTGGAAATAAGGATTTACCCATCTCCCACTACCAACATGAAAGATGCCATGTGAATTTCCAATATCCCTTCCCTTTTAGTTTTCCTTCTTGTCACCTCTTTTACATGATCACAAGCAGAAAAAAAAAAAAGGCTTTTCCAGGAATAAGTACCCTAGTAAGCAAGCAAGTTCTAAAATACTTATAATATCTTGGGATCCCTCATTATTGGCCTACCAAAGAATGTGTGAATGCCCCAAAGGCCAAGAAAATACACATCAAAACACGATATTTGCTGATTTAAGAAGCCACCTGACTTGGGCCCATCTAATCACATGAAAGGTTCTACTTTAGTAAATAGTAGCTCAACTTCAGTTCACTCCAATTTCATTGTGGATGTGCATGATGCAGTTGTATATAAAAAACATATATAGGTATGTATACATGTCCATATATCTCATAATGCACTCACAATGTATTTAGTTTACATGAGACATATTCATTTTCCCATTCCCGTGACACAGTGTATGATGCAGTTGCATGGAAGTTCTGAGAAAATCAATGGTGAGCCATTGATATATGTTTCTAAAATCAAAAGCTCATAATTACCAGGAAAAAAACAAATAGAAAATAAGTGACCATTCTTCTCAAGAAAACAGAAAATATTTAATTTTATAGTGTAAAGTGCTGCTAAATCAGCTAAGATAATAAATAAAAAATAACTAAAAGAAACGAATAAAAATAAAAAACACAAGGAAATTGTTTTCTCCATCACTCTCAAGCCTCATCCGATGAGAACCAGTCAAATTGATAATTTCTACATATTCGAAATGAAAAAAAATTTCTCACCCAAAATGGCAGATTTCCCACCCAGACATCAATTCCTTACATGGAATGCAATTATTCGACAAAACCCATAAAACAGGAGAGATTAAGAGTAATGTCTCTCTCTTCGTTAAAACTTTCATTCTATACTAAGAAAAACGTAAAAAATATTGTTCTCCATATAAAGCAAGCATCCAGTCAAATGATTCACAACCCAAATGTAATTGGAAGAAAATACCAATTATCATCTAAGAGAGAAAAGAGTTGTAATTGTCTCTCTAAGAGAGAGACGAATGGATCGAACACAAGCGACATAGAGAAACAGAGAACGGGAAAGAAGTCATATGCATCTACAGAGTTAAAGAGAGATGGAATAAATATCCCATTAAAATCAAATGGAATGAAAAACAGAGGTGAGGGAAAAGAGATCTTACTTTGACAGAGCCATTTGCGTCTGCAATGGCAAAGAACTTTCCCTGTTCACTGAAAGAACAAAGGCCAGGTGGTTTGGAGGCGGTTTTCCTGCCCATTATTTTGCACCACACCAAACTCTGCAATAACAGGGAACCTAATCTCGACTAATGGGGTTTAGGGTTTTTGCTAGCTGAGTGTTTTGAGGGGTAGGTCGTCGGAAACTTAAAATGTAGAGCGGGCATTTTACAGAGGGATAAGTTTTTATTTCCTTGTATGAGAATAGGATGCACTTTCTAAAGGGAAAAGTTTATATAGAGCCTAGGCTCTAAACAATCGAATTAGAGCCTACTTCAAAACATTCATTGGAATGGAGGTTTTGATGCCCGGATATCATCAAATTAATAATCTCGACATCAAGATGCATAGACATAAGAAAAAAATGAATTACAAGTTTTGGAAATAGGGCATCTTGTAACGCATTTTTCAACTATCAATTTTTAAGATTTTCAAGTTTTCATAGATCGGATTGATCTACACTATTTTTTAAGCTTTAAATTTTATAATTAAATATGAAGATATAATTTAAGGCTACCACAAAACTTTCCGGCATTGAAACCATATTTCTCAATATTACTTGAAGGTGGGCTCAAATTTGATTTTTTAGAGCCTAGGCTCTATACAAACCGTACTCCTTTCTAAAAGGCCTAGGCTTTATTAAAAACAAAGTAAAGCCTCACCTTAAATCCTTGTGAGGAAAGCATTTTAGGCATGAGAAAATCTTTATGATGGCACTAAAATTACTTTCGTCAATAACTATGAAATTTGAAGCTTAAAAAATATATAGATCTTGTATATCCGTGAACATTTATTTTTACGATCTAAATAATTTGTTACAATATACACTATTTTTAGGTTTTGAAATCCATTTTTTTTTTCACAAGCACAATTATCAAGATCGAGATGATCGATTTGAAGGTTTTTCAATGGCAAAACCACAGTTTACTATCAAAATATTTTCCATGAGTTTAACCTACACAACCCCTTTTACATGGTATAAAATGTTTTGATGGAGCTCCAGCTCTATCAAAATAAGGAAAGCCTCACCTTAATTGTCACGCCCCAAGAATTTACGATACTGATATTCCTGACTTGTGACAGTCAAGGCATATATACATCACTTGATAGAACAAATTTTCAGTGGTGAATCCTTACAAAGTAACAAAAGAAAGTTTAAGCATAACTACAATATTCTTCCAGAGTTGATCCTGACGAGCACTCAAAATGAAACCGCAGTTATCCTGAAAAAAAATGTTTACCATAATTTGGTGAGTTTGGCTACTCTATAAGTGATCATCATAATCCAAAAAATAATCATGGTTGAAAGATATCAATATTTTCAAAAAGGAGATCTATTAACAGAAATGCGTCAACAGTTTCACTTTCAAAAATGTTTAATTAAGTATAATTCGAATAATTGAAATGCATATAACCTTTTAATGGCAGTGCATAATTCAAATAATTTCACAAATTACCCTACTGGCGTCCCAAGTAGGTCACCTAAATACCCCATCAGCATCCTGATGGGTTCACTTAATCCCTATCGGCATCTCAAATAGGTCCACTTAATCCCTGCAGGTCCACGTATACCTCACCGGCGTACCATATGAGTCCACTTAATCCCTATCGGCGTACCGGATAGGTCCCTTTATACCTCACCGGCGAACCGGATGAGTCCACTTGCATACTTAAAGTATTTCTAAATCTCTTTAAACATTCGAAAGCACCAATATCATGTACTCAACATATCACTGAAATTATTAATATGAATTTCACTGAAACCATTAATAACAGTCACTTTCAATAATATTTCAAAAATAACCAGTTAAATATTTTGGGCTCAAATTTAGAAATGTAGCAGTTCGTAAAGACATTCTAGCATAATTGACAATCTAATATGTATAGAAAAAAATCTTATAGAAATTCAAGAATACGGAATTATCACAATTTATGGGATGTCAATTCGCAAATAAGCATTCACAGACAATGCTATAATCAATTGCAAAAATATCAATTTTCAAATAATAAGGCAGCCATTTGCATATGAAATTTACTATGTCTAAATATTCAAAAACAGTAGAGAAAATCTCACAGTTTTATTAAAAGCAGAAATATCACATTTATTTCTAATAATTTTACAGTATCTAAAATTTTCTAACAATAGACAAGAAAAATAAATAAATTTATTTCTAAGAATTTACAACATTTAAAATTTCTAACATAGATAAAATATCACAATTTTATTAAAAATATTATTTTTCAAAATAATGAGGTCGTTTGTGCATAAAATTTATCGCGCCTAAAATTCATGATAATAAGCAGAAGTAATTATTTCATTTCATTTTTAAAAAGAATGGATTATTTTTCAAGATAATGAAGTCACTTACCTAAAATATTTGAGAAGGAGCTTCCGATAAAAATTCGGCTAGAGAGAGGAGCTCACTGTGTTTGTAAGAGGAAGAGCGAGAAAGGAGTTGTTAGGCGACGTCTTATCTTTTGTCCTATTTAATTTCTTTAAAACGCCTCCATCTCATGTATGAGGTGTCGCGTAATCGACCGCCTTTAACACTTGAAAACCACGACCACTAAAGGATGTGGCAAGGCCGTAAAAGCTTAAACCAAATGAAGGTAAAAGCTTTTGAAAGTAGTGATAGTCCTTAAGGACCATCATGCTCATATGGATCATCACTTATTAAAAGTTTCTTTTCTTCTTCTTTTTTTTTATATATGAAAGTTTAGGATTGTTACATCAATACTCATATAAACTTGTATTTTGGGAATTGAAAAACCGTCAAATTAAACACCTCATCCTTTGTTATTATGATTGTGAATAAAATTAGGATTTTAAGCCATAAAAACAGTATATGTTATAACACATTCTTTAGGGTGTCCATTTTCAAGTGCTCATGAATGAGCAAGATCTATACCATTTTTTGAGCTACGAATTTCATAAATTGATTTCAAAGCCATAACAAAGATTTTTCATGCTCAAAGTGCTCCCCAAATGAGGATTTGTGGTGGGGCTTTAGTTCTTTTTCGAACGCCTAGGTCTTATAGAATTTGCATCCTTACGTAGTCACAGATTTGTTACAACCTTCAAAAGGAAAAAGTTTAAGCTTTCTATGTTATATGTGCACCTAAAAAATCTAATAGAAATGAATATTACGAAGTTGAAAAATAGTCCAATTCATCATTTCAATCTCAAAATGTGTGGATATAAATAAAATATATATTTCAAATCCTAAATATAGTACATTTTGTAACAAGTTATTTGGACCATCTATTTATAAGATTTTCAAATATTTATAGGTCTGCTCGATTTACATCATTTTTTAATTTTTAAATTTCGTAATAAGGGTCAAACATGGATTTTCAAGTTATCATAAGATTTATAACACCAAAACTACATCTTCCGGCAAAATTTAGAGGTGCGCCTCACTTGTACAGTAGAAGACGCGTACCTTATACAAACCGCACCCATCTTAAATATGCTCAATGTGTCTATACTGTATTAAAAGACATGTCAGGTCTATACTATCCAATATAACATTGTGAATTCATTTCTACAAGTTACCACCATATACTTCACCCAAAAAAAGTTACCACCTTATATAAACTCTACATCAAGGGTCAGCATTGAGCTCATACCTATTTGTATTGGTTATAGACGACTTAATTGGGCACCTATAGGATGAGGTACCATGCGGTATATTGTTCACAAATGAGATAGTTTTGATTAGTGAGACTCGAAACAACGTCAACACAAAGTTAAAATTTTGGAGGAATGTTCCAGAATCTAAAGGTTTTGAAATTAGCCAATCTAAACCAAAGTATATAGAATACAAGTTTAGTAATAATAGAAGTAGAAACGAGGAAGTACTTAAGATTGTCAACCAAAAAGTACAAAAAAGACATCACTTTCGATATCTTCAGTCGATAATCCAAAAAAATGAGGAGATTGAGGAAGATGTCACACTAAGAATTAGAGCTGGGTGAGTGAAGTGGAGATGTATAACTGGAATTCTATGTGATCGTCGCATACCAACAAAGTTGAAGGGCAAGTTCTATAGGATAGCTATGAGACCAGCTTTGCTCTATGGGGTAGAATGTTGGGCTGACAAAAAACAATGTACCCATAAAATGAATATAGCAGAGCTGAGGATGTTGAGATGGATGAGTGGCAAGACAATAAGGGATAAAATTTGAAATGAATTCATTTGAAAAAATTTAATAATGGCACCAATAGGCGATACGATGAAAGATAATATAATTAAGTGGGCGAGCCATATGTAGCCCCGACCCAGTACAACACATGTTAAGAGGTGCGAGTTAGTTCAAGTGGAAAGATTGAAAGGGCAAGGGGTATGTCGAAAAGGACGTAGTTGGAAGTAGTCCGAAAAGATATGGAGACTTATGATCTCACTAAGGGTATGGCATTTAATAGAGCAGAATAGATGACTAATATTCATGTAGCCAATCCCAAGTAATTGAAAAAAGGTTATAATGATGATGATGACCACCTTATATAAAGTACACCCTTCGTAGAGGGTTGAAGTTTATATAAGGTGTCTTCCTAATACTGTAGAAGCAAGGCACACTTTTATATTTTACTTGGAGATGAAATTCCAATATCATAAGCTTTTGTAATGGCTTCAAAGTCTCTTTTCATCCCTTGTTATGAAATTTAAATTCAAAAAAATATATAGATTAGATAGATATAGAAGCACTTGAGAATTTTAAAAATAGATGGTCCAAATAACTTGTTACAAGATACATTATTTTTACAATTTGAAATTGATTTTTTTCATATGTATATATCTCGAGGTTGAAATAACCAATTTAAGAGTTTTTCAATGTCATAACACTCTCTTGTAGAGGATTTTTGAAGTGCACTTTACTTCTTTTTTTGGATAATTCAATGGGGAAGATACATTTTTTCAAATAGTTTAGGAGTTAGTTTTTCTGAATGTATTGGTGGGATAGTATCATTAGAAATGAAAACCACAACGTGGTAACTAGGGTGTGGGGGTGTTACCACCACTACCCAGCCCCTTTCCCGAGTGAATCTTACTTCATTAGTATGAGATTGACACCTTATATAAATTTTTCGAAGATAGAGGTAGGGAGGGAGGGAGAGAGTTTTCTTGGGACTTACTTTGAATAAGAGACCACGAGAGTTTGGATCTCCAG